GGGCGGGGATCACTGGTAAGTTTGTGGCAGTGGTGCAGCCAGGGTTTCTAAGTAGGGTTTAGGGTTTAGGGTTTAGGGTTTAGAGTTTGGCGAACCTGCAGCGCGGCGATGATGCCGGCGGCTCCCATCATAAGCCTCCACGGGACTCCGCCGAAAATCGCAGCGAGAACGTAAGCAAGCATGCATCCTGCAGCAGCAACAAACAACAAGGGTTTAGGGTTTAGGGTTTAGGGTTTCGGGGTGAAGAGCCGGCCGCCTCAGGCGAAGAGTCTAGGGTTTAGGGTTTAGAGTGTCACTCTTCTGTGGGGGAGGGAGGCCCGCTTCACAGGCGAGCGCGCTGCGCCCCCAACAACCACTAGGGTTTAGGGTTTGGGGTTTAGGGTTTAGGGTTTACCGGAGCACTGCGCTACTTCCTGGCAAGCCACCAAAACCCCCCGCAAGTCCGTGGGAGCTATTTCGCACATGTAAGTGGCGTAAACCACAAACCCCATTCCCACTCCGAGGCCCACGAAGAAACGCCCCACAAGCACCAGCTGCGCGCAAACCCTAAACCCTAAACCCTAAACCCTAAACCCTAAACCCTAAACCCTGAAGCTGCGCGTTGAGAGCTAGCTGGGTGCGCGCGCGCGTTCACGGCGAAGTCGGACACGGCGCGGCGCGCAAATGAGGGCGAGGGGAACTGCCGCCAAACCCTAAACCCTAAACCCTAAACCCTAAACCCTAAATCCTACCGCGAAGCTGGTGCCTATTCCGAAGCAAATGGAAGCAAATAAGAGACAAAAGTCACTCAGCAGCAGCCCCGGGCGTCTCCCTAGTCTGTCTGCAATCCAGCCTCCCAGCACGCTGCCAGCCTGCACAAAAAGCACAAACCCTAAACCCTAAACCCTAAACCCTAAATCCCAGAACGGCGCATATCACACGAAAGGGGCCACTCAAATATGAACACAGGAAGCCAACAAGTCCAACAAGTAAAGCAGCCAGCTGGCTAGCTGCCTCTCCGGCCAGCAAACCGCTAGCTAACTAGCTAGCTAGCTGGCTGGCTAGCTGGCTAGCTGGCTAGCTAGCTGGTAAGCTCCCCTAGCCGGCGAGCCGAAGCTAGCTAGCTAGCTAGCTAGCTAGCCAGCTGTCTAGCCACAGAGCTAACCAGCTAGCTAGCTAACTAGCCATCTGTCTATCCAGCCAGTCAGCTAGCCGGCTAGCTAGCTAGCTAGCTAGTTAGCTAGCTAGCTAGCTAGCTAGGAAGGCGTGCAGTGGCTAGGCAGCTAGGTGGGGATCGGGCTGGCGCATATACTTAATACTTTATATTTATACTCCATACCTTTTAATTTACATTTATACTTTTCACTTTATACTTTATACTTATACTTTGTAATTTATAATTTATAATTTATGATTTATAATTTATAATTTATAATTTACTTTATGCTTAACACTGCAGTGTTTGACTCTCCACTCTTTACTCTTTCCACTTTTTATACTTTTTCCACTTTTAATAC